TTGCTTTGCCCCCAGGCCCCCATAATTATTATCGAGGATTTCATATTATCATCCAAAGCAGCTTCAAAAATTATAGATCCAGCCAAAAAATTTTCAAAATTTATTGAAAAATACAAAAGTTACAGCAAAAAAACCATTTTTAATTCTCAACTTCAAGAGCTAATAACTCTACAGGGTGAGCCCGGAGGAAAAAATTTTATATGAACTTGTGACATTATTTTCTCATTATCTATCCATATCCGAGAGATTGCCCACCATTTCCGGGTCACCCTGTATATTCTAAAATAAAAAATAAAACAAAAATGTAAAATACTAAAATCTCGAAAGCGGAGCCGTTTTCGGAAAATTTTTTAAAGAGAAATTCAAATTTATAATTTTTTTGTTTAATACACCATTAAAATCCATTTAAATCCATACAAAATAGAAAGAGCAAAAACGAAGATACTTCTGGCTTTGCCTAACCTTCAAACACATTACCATTTTCGTTAATACACTTCTGCAATTTGTGGTATAAACTCCTGGCAACAGAATAGAAATTAGCTTAATTTATTTCCGCTACTGCTTCATGAATTCTGCCAATAACATCATCCTCGCCAACAAGCACAGTAAAATAAACCTTTTCTTTTATGTATCCCCATAACCAAAAGTCTATAGGAGTCAAGTCAGGAGACCGGGGTGGCCATGGTGTTGGTCCACCCCGTCCAATCCATTTATTTGAAAAACGGCGGTTCAAAATATGTCGTACTTGTAATGTGGCATGTGCGGGCGCACCATCATGCTGAAACCACATAGTTGCACGTTGTTGTAGAGGAATATCTTCTAACAAACCTGGCAAAATGTTCTCGCAAAAATTACTGTAATTTTCACCATTCAGTATTCTTGGCAAAAAATATGGACCTATGATCCTTTTCCCGTAAATACCTATCCAAATATTTACAGACCAACGTCTTTGCTGATTCCGCTGACGTTTTTCATGAGGATTCTCATAATGCCAATAATGAAGGTTGTGGTGATTGAAAACTCCTTATTGGTTGAAATGAGCTTCATCGATAAATAAAACATTATAGAAAAAATCTGGTTTGCGCTGAAAGGATCTTCGTTTTCGCTATTTCTTATTTTGTATGGATTTAAATGGATTTTAATGGTGTTAATATTAAACAAAAAATTATAAATTTGAATTTTTCTTTACAAATTTTTCCGAAAACGGCTCCGTTTTCGAGATTTTAGTATTCTACATTTTTGTTTTATTTTTTATTTTAGAATAGGTATATATCCGGCCGCTGGAGAGTGAATTATGACCCACCCTGTATAATTTAAATTTTCCAGTGGAAGGTAAACTCAATTAAAGGATAAATAGATATATCTATANTTTTCGAGATTTTAGTATTCTACATTTTTGTTTTATTTTTTATTTTAGAATAGGTATATATCCGGCCGCTGGAGAGTGAATTATGACCCACCCTGTATAATTTAAATTTTCCAGTGGAAGGTAAACTCAATTAAAGGATAAATAGATATATCTATATCCAATAATACAATAAAATTACAGTTATATTTTCAGTCAGGTCAGTCAGTTGACACAAACGCAGAGATTATAATCATCAGTATATGGCAAAACGTGTATACTTATTACAATAATTCATATCATTCATGAAAGGAACAAAAAACAGTGGGTCAAGTATTGCACTCTGAGACACGGCTGATATTTGACTAAATATTGTATCAGGTTTGTAACCACCGTACTGTAGTATAACAACCCTAGGTTCGATCGTAAAAAAGAATACACGTAGTTGTAGCCAAAAATATGTGATCGTCATAAGGAATACCTACGTTGTGTGTATCTATTTTTATATTGACCGGAAGGCGCTGGCTACTAACTTTTTTTGAGGGATGTATGGTTTAATTTTATAAAACAAAAGCAGAGTAAATACACCTAACTTTATTATTGTACAACAATTCAAATTACACATGTGACAAATAGAAAGAACAACAAAAACATTAAGAACCATTTAACATAAAATGAGAGTGCCAGGCTCACCTAGAGCTCCTGTGGGGAAAGAGCATAGCAGAGAAACCCACGATCGTTGCTCTTACCACCCAAATATCCACTTGACCTCTTTGATCGAGAATTTTAGCAAAAAAATTGGTAACACACTACATAGTTTCGATACAGTAGATCTATCGCACATAGAGCAATGTTGCCCAGGGAAAACCAAGAGGTTTAGGAAAATTATAGGAAATAGCCACAGTTCTTTAATTTTCATTGTCGTATTTGTTCCTCTTTTTGTAAACAGCACACACGAGACTGCTTCCAAAAATCGGAAAAAGTATTTATACGAGTTCACTGAAAGTGTGGTTTGGAAAAAAAGTAGTACAATACGATACAAGGTAGATCCTAATGTGAACCATTTCTGAAGAAGGAAATATTGGAAAAGGGAAAATTTTATAAATGTTTATAAATAAGATGGATTACACAAAAACAATGGTGGTGACAAAGGAAGAAATGCACCTTTTTTAGTAATTAAGTTTCATTAATTTGATTTCATAACAAATGATGTTCCTTCCCTTAACGAATTGGTCGAATCATAGAAAGGTAAATTTGGCAACTACGCATTAACCGTTGTTGACAGCTAGCTAGATGACAGAAACAGCTCCTTCCACGGTCGTAGGTAAGAAAGTAGATCAAATGCGCTCTGTGTTTTTGATCATCTCGTTTGTTATTTTTAGTTGTATTCGGTTTTGTGCCACATTAATATCCGAACAACTAATTCATCCTGCTCAGTTATGCGTAATATCTTAATGTGTCGTTAATTTCGTTTTATCGCGATCTTGAGTCAGAGTAGAAGAATTATCTTTAAAGTACATAAAAACTTTCCGTTGTAAACTGCAATTAGGCCTTAATACCAGTCGGTCAATAGCCGCACGGTTTAAGGTGTCAGTACTTAAATCGNTGTTTGACTAAATATTGTATCAGGTTTGTAACCACCGTACTGTAGTATAACAACCCTAGGTTCGATCGTAAAAAAGAATACACGTAGTTGTAGCCAAAAATATGTGATCGTCATAAGGAATACCTACGTTGTGTGTATCTATTTTTATATTGACCGGAAGGCGCTGGCTACTAACTTTTTTTGAGGGATGTATGGTTTAATTTTATAAAACAAAAGCAGAGTAAATACACCTAACTTTATTATTGTACAACAATTCAAATTACACATGTGACAAATAGAAAGAACAACAAAAACATTAAGAACCATTTAACATAAAATGAGAGTGCCAGGCTCACCTAGAGCTCCTGTGGGGAAAGAGCATAGCAGAGAAACCCACGATCGTTGCTCTTACCACCCAAATATCCACTTGACCTCTTTGATCGAGAATTTTAGCAAAAAAATTGGTAACACACTACATAGTTTCGATACAGTAGATCTATCGCACATAGAGCAATGTTGCCCAGGGAAAACCAAGAGGTTTAGGAAAATTATAGGAAATAGCCACAGTTCTTTAATTTTCATTGTCGTATTTGTTCCTCTTTTTGTAAACAGCACACACGAGACTGCTTCCAAAAATCGGAAAAAGTATTTATACGAGTTCACTGAAAGTGTGGTTTGGAAAAAAAGTAGTACAATACGATACAAGGTAGATCCTAATGTGAACCATTTCTGAAGAAGGAAATATTGGAAAAGGGAAAATTTTATAAATGTTTATAAATAAGATGGATTACACAAAAACAATGGTGGTGACAAAGGAAGAAATGCACCTTTTTTAGTAATTAAGTTTCATTAATTTGATTTCATAACAAATGATGTTCCTTCCCTTAACGAATTGGTCGAATCATAGAAAGGTAAATTTGGCAACTACGCATTAACCGTTGTTGACAGCTAGCTAGATGACAGAAACAGCTCCTTCCACGGTCGTAGGTAAGAAAGTAGATCAAATGCGCTCTGTGTTTTTGATCATCTCGTTTGTTATTTTTAGTTGTATTCGGTTTTGTGCCACATTAATATCCGAACAACTAATTCATCCTGCTCAGTTATGCGTAATATCTTAATGTGTCGTTAATTTCGTTTTATCGCGATCTTGAGTCAGAGTAGAAGAGTTATCTTTAAAGTACATAAAAACTTTCCGTTGTAAACTGCAATTAGGCCTTAATACCAGTCGGTCAATAGCCGCACGGTTTAAGGTGTCAGTACTTAAATCGATGTGTGCTATCTGCCCGGGTTTCGAATCCCGCGGCCTTTAGACCGTAGATTAGCTATGCTTGTACGGAGGATTGGCACTCTCTGTGCAGGTTTGGTAGGGTGGAAGAATGTTGGCTTGGGTCAATGTGAGAGATTGACACCGGTTGGCATTTGACCACCCCCCTAATTAATGAGGTTTTCCAGGTTTCCCTCATTCCTGCACTGAATGGTGGTTAGGGCCTACCAACATAAGTCGTTCCTGGGCGCAAATGC